TTTGTCATTGACCTGCAGTGTTAATCATTCTTGCATTTATCTGCATCTATGCTGTGAAGGTGGTCGAGCATATCGAAGTGTTCGGGAGAGTTCGGATTGTGAGGTGTAATCGTTAGCCAATTCTAAACGTCCTGTGGACTGAGCCGTGCTGTGGCAACCCTTGCAACGGTCTTACCCCTAGTGCTCCTCAGGCTTTGAAGGCAAAAACCACCTTCGAGCCCAACAAACATGAAAATTCTTTACCCTGCTTTTCATAACATGTAGCTGACTTCCACCCATAATGATAATCTGTTTATCACATCAAGGCTTTCAGATGCTGCACCCAATGTACTCTTTCTCATGTTGATATTCTTACCATTGAATTTTCTTGCTGCAACTCAGGATATTGCTGTGGATGGCTGGGCTTTAACAATTCTGTCACGGTGAGCTACTATGAACCTTGTTTTATTTGCTTTTAATCGTTACTTTTTCGTTGTTTCAACCTTTTTTCTTGCATTTGTAATGCCCGGTTTCCCTTCTGATACTAGAGTGATGTGTCGCGCGGTAGCGAATGACCCCGCTCTACCGCTGATCGTTGGACCGTTGCAACTGCTTGTTGCTGGACATTTAGGGCGGGACTTCTTTCTACCAATGCGTTCGTCCAATTAGGGCGGGACTTCATTACCAATCGTTCATCCGACGATTAGCAGAAGAAAGCGGCTCATCGCGGTCGTGGCATTCCGCAGGGAACGGCTTTTACCAGATGACACACTCATACCGGCTGTCACGCCCAACCGTCCGCAGCAAACTAGAGTGTAGATTAGATGAGATAACCTAGGTAGTGGCCTCATGAGAATTAGCCGCAACGAGGCGCGATGTATTTTGGAGAACTCACCCAAAATCTGCGAAACTCGTCCAGATGCCTTAAATCGAATAGGGTCCTGCACCTTTTTTCCTACTTTTTTTGATCAATGCTTCACTTGCCACCTGTTCTAACAAATCTTACCCCTTAAACCTGCCAAAGTCGATTGCGGGCGCTGTCTCTAAGTCGTGCCATGTCTAAATGTGAATCGCTCAAGTCATCTGGTGCGAATACTGATTGAATTATGAAGTTCCTTTTCAGAAAAAACGTGGGATATGCTTCTACTTGCAACGCTGTCGGCCAAACTGCTGGTTATTTCCTTGGAAATGTAGTGTTCCTGTCGTTGGAATCGGCTGATTTTGCTAATACGTTCATTCGCTCGGCCGATAACCAGAAGCCATACGGAATAATCGACTTAGCAGGTTAGTGCTGGGGAGTACTGATTGTGAGTAACTTGGCATCAGAGCACGTTTTGGCGTTTTGGGAATCTTCACGGGATATGCTCACCGCTCCGAGCTTTGTCCTTCCTTCTCCAGTGCGGTCCCCTTGTACAACCTACTTACCCTCTTTCCAACTTTTCCGAAATTTCACCGTTAAGAGGGGGAGGCAGGTTAAGAACAGGAAGTTGGCGCGATTGAAGGGAT